CAACATTGAAATACTTCAACGCTTCCAATCGAAAACGCTAAGATCCATTATAAATGCACCCTGGTGCACCATCGAATTAATACATCACGATCTCAAGATACCCATAGTCAAAGAGGAAATAGCAAAATATAGCGACAGATATAGCAAAAGAGTCAACAAACATCGAAACCCCCTAATTACTGGACTACTTGAAACGTTGGACCAGATCCGCAGGCTGAAGAGACACTACCCGTTAGACCTAAAAACTAGATTTAATTAGTTATTTATATTAAGTAATATTTGCTTATTTACAACTTACTCAAAAATTATACTTATCTATAATAAGTATTAATTTGTTATAAATATTTAGCCATGTCACTGCGCCACGCCAGAAAAAATTACTGAAAATTCTCAATGCGAGAATTGATTGTAAATAATAATAAGTAAAAAAAAAGTTGTTCATGACTAAAGCTATAAAGGATTATATCAATTTATCACGAATTGATTCTTCAACAGATTTCTTTCACAGTTGGATAGCATAGATCTGTAGGATAATCGTAAAATCCGAGGATTATGTAATAAAGTTTTATAAATTGGTTTGCGCGGGTCAGGAACTTATAAGAACCAGAGAAAGAGTGGAAAGTAAGCCCTGGAGGGCAGCGCGCGTTCGATTGCGCCACTCCACTCTTAAACTTCTCTCTTGTGCACAACTGCGCTAAACTTGGAAACGGGTATATACAAGTGGCAATTATTAGAAGAACATTCGATATCTCGTTGCTGCGGAAAGGCTCGTTTAATCTACTTTTACGGGCCTCCAGTAAAACATGCCGGTCGGTTCACCGATCTCGAAAGGCTGCGGCACGACGACGTCCGACGTCGATATCTCTCGCTTGGCCGATCGGATTTATGTTTCCTTTTACCGATTTATGTCAAACTTTAATTAATAATAAATTATTTTTTTCCTTATTTTATTATCAATGAAACGCTTTTTTTCAAATACATATTATGGTTGTTAGATATAGGGAAACGGCTACGTACATAGAATGAATCACGAAACTATCCAAACACTCTTAGCCACCTTTTATGAATATATTATCTATGTTACATAAAACATCTTTAAGTTTCATTAGCACTGTGATGAGATCTGAGTGTCGCGATGACATTGGTAAAGTTTGAAACAAATCTGAAAATGACACATATATACAAATTATGAAATATAATAAATATTAGAAGTATGTGTATATTTCATGTAGGTCATAAAAGTTATTTAAGGTAACTGCTCATGCTGCATATTAATTTTGTATTAAAAAATATTGTATTCGCAGTAAATGTCTTGTAACTTTTACACATTTTCAGATTAATTTCAAATATCAATATAATTATGGCAATCATGTGATACTGTAATGCTAATGAAATTTCAAAATGTTTCATATAATGTACACAATATATGCATAAAAGCTTTCTATGACGAGTGTTCAAGTAGCCACAATATAGCTACTATATGTAGCTTTAATGAAAGTTTTAACGTTTATAGTTTTTAAATATTAGATTGTTCGTTATTGCATTATGAATCTTATTGAATAATAGGAGTAAGTGTACATATAAATGTGTAAGATATTAATTAACATCAATATTATTCAATAACATGAACAATATGGATAATGTTGAAGTTTGAGACTGATGTGCATATAACAAATGCTATCCAGCACATTATACATAGATTTTACACGTACGTAAAATCAAAGCATTCAAGATTTTTGTTTAGAAGCACTAGAGATAATTAACATAGAAATAAACGATGTGAAAGATCTAAATGCTGATTTCACGCGATACTAGTACAATTAATTTGATAGAAATCTCTGAGATAGAAATCTGATAGAAATCCTGGGAAATAAAGATATAAAGTGTTAATATAAAAACTCTATTACAGTGCAAATGAAATCTGTACTGAGCCAATAAGAAATAAACTAAATAGGTTTAAAGAATCTTAATAATTTATTAATTAAATACCTTTAATGTTCTGTATACAGACTGCTTCAAATATCGAGATATTAGAATCAAAATTAAGATTAGATTAATCAACAGTTTTAAAAAGTTTCAAATCACATGTCTTACGTTATTCTATATAAAACTTTCAAATGTTTATATATTATTTCTTTTTACTACGATCCCAAAATTACCACATTATGATGGAACAGTTGAAATTCCAGGTTTCTAACTTAACTCTTAGTTGTTAGCTTAAGTTTTATCATTTTCTTTGAGCTGTCCCTGTTTTCTTTCTTTTTTTTTCTTATTAATTTAGAATATCAAACATTATTCCATAACTGTCTATATAATATAATATAATTTTACTTAAAAAGTAAAAACACAGGGAACTTCAAATATTTCAATCTTCAAAAATAAAAAGATACTAAATAAGACATTTTAACTAAAACAGACAGTATACATACTCGATATATGTATGTACATAAGTAGCATTAACTAACCAATTAAATATGACAACAACATAACATTTAATTAACTATTTATAAAAACAAGTGAAATATATATTAAAGGTAAAAAAATGATGTAAATAACGAAAACTGGTAGATATTGGAATCATATGGATATGAACGCGACTGACAAAGTTTTCATGTTCTGTGAGGTAAGAAATCGAACGTTTAGGAATAGTGGAGTTCAACAAGTAACAATGAACGTCATTAATGTCTGTCTGTGAATGATAACGGCGATATCACAGTCTTATGTTTAGTATTATGCGTAAACGGTATTCTATGAAGAGTGGCGCCGTCCGCTACGCGTTTGATCTCGGCTGCTAACTACGAAAGAACACTCTTTCAAGATCCCATTGTTCGCCGCATATTTCACACAGTCAATGCTGTTAAACCATTAAACGCTCTCACTTATTCTTTTATCCTTGTATTCGTCGGTCTAAAAATATATGTAAACTGCTAATATTAAAACTACCAAATGATTTCACAGGACCCATATTTCACCAAATATTCGTAACAATTTCTAAGAATTCTGTTTCATAGCTGATTTTTGAATTGCAAATATTCTAACTGTATCTAACTGTACTGCAATCCTCGAACTTTCATATTTCAATTTTGCTTGCATTTTGGGAAACAAAATGTGTTTGTTATGTTTTAAGAAGACGTTTAAAATAAAATTGAAAGGGAAAAATCATGCGTACCATTTTTTTGATACTTTGTTGAAATTTGAGATTTTTCTTAACGTTAGAAAAATAGAATTACAGCGAGAACAGCCGAAAGAACGTATCAAGATTAATAACGTCCCACTGATACATTATGAACGAAACAATTGGGACGAAAACCACTTGTTTAATGAGTTGATAGGAAAAAATGGTCCTCTACATATCAGGTAAGATTTTCAAACAATTCGGCTTTGTTTATGTTTCGTGTTTAATATTTAATAATGTTCCACATATAATTATGGCTATATATAATTTGGTTAATGAATTGGCAAAGGAAAAAAATAGCATACTAAGTATCTGTTAGGTAGGATGCATCAGTCGGAAGATTTATTAGTATTCAATAAGGAACATGCAAAATCAACTTCTTCCGAGCGAATAGTTATTGATAATTACATACAGAGGCGGATTTGAAGCGCATATTCTAGATGTTTAATGGAAATCAAGGAATCAGGAATCACAACGATTAATGAGGTCACGTGCTAATTCAAGGCTAACCGATAACACGAGTAATCGTCTTATTATATCGTAGATACATCGAGTTATGTCATAATCTGAAAACCGATTTCCATAGAATTTTTATTACCAACTCGTCAGCCGATTAGAGATTTCGATGCTGACACACCAATCATGTCACAATTACGAATAATGATAGACAAAACAAATTCAATCGAGCACCATACTTTTGACCACGTACATATGACAATAACAGTACACAGCAAATACGACAATAAAAAATTATTCGTAAGCGTCTATGAAAATTTACCAAAGATGCATTAACAATATGAAGAGCTAAAGGAAGAATCAACTGTCAATGACTGATAGTATACCAGCGCCATGTGTAACTTATCTATTTATGTATTTCTTTAATTACTTGCTACCGCTATTTTGTTATTTTTCAAATATTCGAAGTCATCGAATTTTGTTACAAATATAACAAAATCATATTTTATGAGTTGTTGTTCGGAACTAGCTGGTTGTTGTACATAGTGTTAATTCTTTGCACTCAGAATGCCAATTACGCTGCCACGATCTTTTTGCTGTTATGAATATCAGTTTTATAATTTTATAATCAATTCACGTAAATCTTCTAGACATTGCATTTATGATACAAAGCTGATGACAAGGCCTCCGGAAATCTGGGGGTACTTTATTCTTCTCAAAATGAAACATTTTATTTTAGAAAAAATTTCTTAAATAAAAGTGTATAATAATTCCGGGAACGAATTTCTTCTCATTATTACTCGTCTGAGTAATTATTAATAATAATTTAAATTAAATAATTGAAAATTGGTAATAATTAAAAACATTGTGAGATATAAATGTATATTGATACAATGACATACATGAGTATATGTATACAGGGTGGTCCACATTCTGTATAAATTAAAAGAACATGAATATATATTTGAATATACCTATGCATGAATATATATACATATGTATACACAGTATATTTGAAAATATATAGATATTGTACATATTAAAAATATTTGAGACTTATACAGGATGGTTGGTAACTGGTGGTACAAGCGGAAAGAGGGTAATTCTACGCGAAAAAAGAAGTCGAAAATATAGAATAAAAATTTTTCGTTCGAGGCTTTGTTTTCGAGAAAATCGACTTTGAATTTTAGCTCGGTACGCGTGCACTTTATTGCGTCTCGTTATAACGGAGCTCACTGTAGATCGTTGTTTCGATAGAAAAATTAAAAAAAAATTATTATTGTATATTTTCGACTTCTTTTTTCGCGTAGAATCACCCCCTTTCCGCTTGTACTACCAATTACCAACCACCCTGTAGATGATAAAAACTAACGTTTCTTAATCATAGCAAACTGATAAAGGAAATAAAGTAATCATAAAGTTTCTGTCAGAAATTCGCGTTTCAATTAACGAGTTGACGAAAAGGGACGTTGAAATGGTTTCCAAGTGCAAAGCGTCAATATTTGTTCTACTAATCTGAAAGGAGTTCTACTATATTACTTCAGACGAAAGCTGAATCACCGAAAAATGATTTCCATCGCGCAGATGAAGCGTACAACTATAAGAGTGTACAGTGGAACTCCATTTATTTGAACACGTCATAGGCAAACGATTCATTCAAGTTTACTAATTTTCTTCTCTATCTATTATTTTTCATTCGCAGGAATTCATATTCAGATTAATGGTGTCAGTTAAACGACTATTAACGAAAATGTCATGCGAGTAAACAATGGAGTTCTACTGTCGTAATTGCCTGAACTAAAACGCTTATTTCCAGAACGTACGTAGCCATGATGAACGGAGAGGGGCACAAACGATAACTATTTAAACATGACAACAACGCATAGCTTTTATCACTTACTCTTGAACAGCGGAGAGATTATAGTAATTCCCTTGTTGTTGTTGTTGTTGATGATGATGATGCTGGTAGAGTTGGGTATCGGACGATAAGATCGTTGAGACTATCCGACCGCGGTTATCGTGAACACGATGTTCCTGGTGAATACGCGGATGAAGCTCCTCCAGCGAAATGAATTCCTGTGGCTCCTGACTCGGGTGGAGGAGCTGCGTATAACTCTGTGCCATTTCTTGGGCCACCATCTCCTGATCCGGTGGTCCACGAAAGTATAGAAAATCTTCCAGCTCCTTCTGCTGACGTTGTTGCTGATACTGTTGTTGTTGCTGTTGCTGAAGTTGCGCTTGTTCTTGGCGATAACGATGACCTGGAGAATGTTGCTGTTGATGTTGATGGAGACCGCAGGTATTCACGCAGGTGCCATCGCCGACCATAACATCGTTCTCCACGACACCACCGCTATCTGGCAGTAATCCACCCTCGTCTGAAGATTCATAAAGCCGTGTTCTTTTACCCGGATCCTGATTTCGCTACGGCCGCGTCCTAAAGTGGTTGCAACATGCGAATAGATCGGGACAAGACGAGTTCACGTGTTCGTGGAACGTGAACGATGCGCGTTTGAATCTCTTTGACCGAGCCATCGGAATGTCCCTATAAGGGAATCGTTTTATCGCGCTAAAGAATACTTTTGAATCTTGAAATCGACGACTCTGCGCTGCAGAATATTTTTGAATCTCGATATCAACGACTCTGCTCGGAGCAAATGGTCGAAGACTCGTTTCCGCGTCGATCTATTTTAACGAAAACAACGATGTAACGACAGGAGTGACAATGAAACGACGATTTAATGAAGGAAAGAATGAAAATTTGCATGCAGGCGAATTTGATAGTAATCGGTTTTCTAGTTCGAAAAATGGAATGGAATCGATCCGTATAACATAAATGAATAGATCATGCAAAAATGAAAAGAATTCAAATCTTGGATGGCTGAGAAATTATGGTAATGAATGCGCCACTCAAAAACTAAAAGAATTAAGACTATTATTAGAGATTATAGTAACTTCTTTATCGTTACTGTTAATGTAATGAGCTTTATATTGCAAGGAAAACTACCAATGGTTTTAATCAACAAGAACTTGACACAATTGTACATCGAACTTTTTTTCGAATCCGCATGCAGTCAACGATGTGATAAAATTCCTCGTACTAGCAGCTACATTTTTTGAGAGCGGTGAAATTTTTACTGGCGTAATTATACAGGGTGGTTGGTAACTGGTGGTACAAGCGGAAAGGGGGGTGATGCTACGAAAAAAAAGAAGTCGAAAATATAGAATAAAAATTTTTTTTTTTACTTTTTCCATCGAGACAACGATCTACAGTGAGATCCGTTATAACGAGACGCGATAAAGTGCACGCGTACCGAGCGAAAATTCAAAGTCGATTTTCTCGAAAATAAAGCCTCGAACGAAAAATTTTTATTTTATATTTTCGACTTCTTTTTTCGCGCAGAATCACCCCCTTTCCGCTTGTACCATCAGTTACCAACCACCTTGTATAAATCGGCTCATAAATGTTGGTAACAATTTTTGATTCTAATTTGCATATTTTACATATTTACAAGTATTTTAAATAATTCGTTTAAATTATTTGATTCACGGAATCGCAATAATTGTTCTTTGAGTTCTTATCGCCAACACGATTAAAGAGAAATAAATATGCTAATGATATATTATGCATTTACCACTAAATCATGTAATGAATTATGTAATAAATGACCTCTACACCATTAATTAGTTTTACGTATAATTGTTACTATTTAAAATTGATGAAACTATGCAGCATATTATGGACGCTGTTTTTAAACACGAAGAAGTCATTTTTAGTCATTTTTCTTGTTTCCAACTATCTTCCCTTTTTGTTTACTATTGTTGGCCGTATCTCCAACTCAATTATGCTTTGAAACTAATATTTGAAAATAATATTAAAACTTTTAAAATTAATAATAATATAATTAGAAACTATCATATTTTATTATAATACACAAAATTGAGAGTGTAATTCTCGATAAAGGTAATGGTATGTGTATATTGTAATGAAACTAAATAGTTTTATTATAAAAATAGAATAATCTCAAGTGGAAATTCAAATTACATTAACAAAACAAAAAGATTAGTGCCATATTATTATCAAAGATTAAATCATCATATAAAGTGAATCGAAGATAGCGCGAGACAATTACAGCTCGAGAAGAAGAACAAATTGTCGAAAATACAACAAATGAAAGAGATTAAATATTAATAATATACAAGAGATAAATTAATACATGACGAGCATTGTATGATAGATCTGCTGAAAAAGATTTCAAGCCGAAATTCACGTAAATTATTATGCGTTCGATTAGCAAAGAAACATATATTGGTTCTTGTACTTTCACAATCTGGTAGTTATAGAACAGGATGAAAATATCGTCTGGCCTGTAGCAGAATAATCATGCAAAACTGTATTTGTATGTTAAAGCAAAAACAATTCTGGATTTCGATATTATTGTTTCTTGAAGAAATAAACTTTATTCTATTAGCCTCTTTAGCAAATAATTAACCTGGTTTCTCACGCGTTAGGAAATGTCAATTTTCTGCATCTGCGGATGACGGAAATAGAGAACCAGACCTTTGACATTAGGTTGTCGTACGATGATTAACAAGAAAGAACTAAGCGAATATTCCGAGCCATTATCGTCATGATTGTAGTAATTTTCGATATGAAACAGCCTACAGTATGTCGCTTAAGGATTGGCATTAACATTACAGTACACCGTTAATTTTTCTAGCATACGGGATTTGTACGCCATCCAATTTTTCGAATTTAAAGTGATTCTAATTTTAATACACATGTGGTTGTATGAAATGAATGCGAGAATCGACAAAATAAAATGATACAAATTACGAAATGGTAGATAGAATATTTTCACTAACGAGTACAACGCTTTGCATGTATGAAGAATGTTATGATCAATTATAATACTCATTAAGCTTTAGTAAAAATATAAAGTGCTCCTCCTCCGTTGTTGTGCGATTTACATTTTCTCCTCAGCTAAAGCTAATCATATTTCAATTTTTAACTCACATGCTCACATGATAGGCAGGTATCATCTTGAGGAGATGACTATTATATGTGGTTAATCTACGTCCTGTATCGTGAAGAATAGCCAGCAGATACTCGTTTAATGGACTTCGAAAAATCGTTGAGATAATTAAATTTTCACGGCAACAATGTTCTGCGATTGTGCGAAGACAACGAGGTTCGGAATCATTAGCGCGTTGGTAGACGGATAACAAATTGGCGAAGAATCAGGGGGCTAACATGGTCTATGGCGAATCGTACGCCTTCAACCGCACATTAATTGCACCTCTCTGGCTGACAGACAATTTCGTATTTTTATGGCATTTCGCCTGTGTGCACGTGCTAATATGTCAGTGTAAAGCGACGGCTGTTGCAAGAGCCCATTGACCCTCCACGTAGAATGCCTTAGTGATACGAAATGATGTAATTCTCTTCTAATTAACACTACCTCCATTGCTTTTAATTTGATAAAAGAATCATTCATTTGATGAGAGCACTAGATGTTGTGAAACGGGTATCATAAAATTGTTGTGAATGAAATTCAAGGAAGAAACATAGATGAATGTTGTGTTTAGTATAATAGGGAAATTAATGTAATTTAAATTTTTGGCTTTAGAATAATAACATAGTTTCCTCTATTTTATTAAATAGTAAAGAGAGAAACGTTTTTAAAACTACAATTCTTGATTTTTAATTAAAAGTATAGTTTCTTTCATGAGCAGCAAGGTACGAAGAGAAAGCCCTAGAATCAAGGAAGGAATTAATAAAGGAGTGTATAAAGGAAAGAGAGAGAGATTGGGGGAATGGTCATGAAGGGAAAAGAGCAAGAAAGAGAAAGAAGGGACTAGAAGAGGTGAGAAAAGGAGGGACGCAGATAGAAACAGGAGAGGAGCAAGAAAGGATGACAGCAGACCAAATTATAGAAGGAAGAAGAAAGAGAGAAGCAGAAGAGAGGGGGAAAAGGATAAGGGAGAGGGAGGGACGCAGATAGAAACAGGAGAGGAGCAAGAAAGGATGACAGCAGACCAAATTATAGAAGGAAGAAGAAAGAGAGAAGCAGAAGAGAGGGGGAAAAGGATAAGGGAATCCAAATATAATACATACTACAGAAACATAGCCAAAGAAAAATCACCAAAGTACCTGGAAGGGAGGATGAAGTGGAAGGACAGAAGAATACTGACAAGATTCAGATACGGAAACGAGACCAAAGCAAGGGAATACTGGAAAGAAGAGTGGAAAAAAGAAGCAGACTATGCAGAAGGAAAGAAGAAGACCTGAGACATGTAATAGAAGAATGTGAAATAACGGGAGGACCAAAGGACCTAGGAAAAACGCTAAACGAGACTGGAGAAGGTTTAACAAAACTGAAAGCAATAATAGAGAAGAGAAGGGCAAACGACAGGAAGGAGGCACAGCAAGGAGGCTAAAGACCAAAGTTGCAGTAGTTTTTAGTCATTAGTTGCTAATTTATACTTCCTAATTTTTAGTTTTTAGAGGTAGAATAAGTAAGGTAGTGCAATAGAATAGAGTGGAAAAGAGGGGAGGTAGACATATAAGAAGAGAAATAGACATAAGAGATGTAAAACCGAAAGTTCGTCCAAAACCGAAAGGCACGGACTAAGCAATAATAATAATAATAATAATAATAATAATAATAACAATATAGTCTCTTTCATTCATTTCTAACTAGATAGAGAAAGGTTAAGAAAAAAAGCTGCAGTCTAGAAATTTTTAGAAACATTATGAAAAATATGTATATACTTTCTGTCTATGCAAATCTTTTAGATACAAACTTGTACATCATTTGTGTGGAATATATGAAAAAAAATGTTAAGTTATTTCTGACATAAATAGGAATAAACCTTAAAAATAGCTAGAAATGAGTTTCATGAATGAGTTGCTCATCATACTTTGTATTATGAAATATTCATTATGCAACTTGCTCTTCATGAAGTTCTATAAAGAAACGAAGACAATTGTATTCCAAATCAAGGACGAGATCAAGCAATTTTAACATCAAAGTTTAAAAATAGTCTTTCCATTTTTATTTCTGAACGTAAAAAGACAAATAATTGCATCGAATATAAAATAAAGCGTAAGGAAAATATAATTGCTCATTATTCGAACAGTGAAAAATAAACTTTATATAATTTGTGTGTAACATAATTCTATCATAATATATAGTTTTGTATATGTCATATAAATTTTACTACAATCCTAAAAAGAGATTAAAGTGGATTATAAAATTTTCAAGCAATGTCAGAAAATGTTTTTAAGTGATATATAAGTGTTACGTAAATGAAAATATGTTACAAAAATATACTCCAAAATTTCGCACGCAAAGAAAGCAGTATTTTAAGAAATAATGTAGGATCAATGTCATTTAGGAACAATAAAATGATTGTGAAAGTTGATCGTAAAAGAAGAATCAAGATTCTAGGCTGTAATCACTCCAAGCAACTTCTAGCAGAACTCTTAATCGATTACATTTGGTTAGAAAAACATGTTTAACCCATGATGCATGTGTATATTGAGTCGTTTACGACCAGTAGTTTTAAGTAATTCTTCATTTTTTCCCATATTTTCGTTTAAGTTTTGCTCTACTTAAAAAGATTAATATAATATGTAGTATAATGTAATATTAATATAATGATTAATATAATATGTACATGTAATCAAAATTATTGCACTGTATTCTAGAAACTTGGAAGATGATTCACGAATTTTGGGGAATTTTTTAAAACACAGAAACTTGAAAAATCTACATGAATTTAAACGACCCAATATACAGACAAGATCAGTGAAAATAAGATTGCAGACATTCGAGTCAAATATCGTTAAAATCAATTAAAGGCATCGTTAGCATAAAATTCTGTTAAAAAAATGAGTAAATTTATTTTTTGAAAATTAAATTAATTCCTTGCGCTTCTTATAAGAAAGATATCATAAGGTTCTAATTTCCATAAATAAAATCAAATTAAAATTAGTAAATAACTCACAATAAATAGTTAACTCTTTACGCAAAATTTGTCATATATAACTTCCAGGATCCCTTCAGTTATTTCAAATTTAAACTTTCATTAAAAATATATCAACTGTTTTGTCTTATCTATTCTAATGTTGTGTCGCATAATGTGGTCAACAGGTTAGAAGGGGGAAGGGGTTCTCGATGCATAAATAAGTCAAAAGTATAATACATTTTTTGGCATATAAACCAGGCCTCGTTCTCGAGAAAATCGAGTTTGAACATTTTTCAAGCATACCTGAAGTTGGATGATCAACAAATGGGTATGAACACAAACAATCAGCAGGAGATTTGAGTAAACTCGAGTAAATTTGAGTAAAATCAGCTGGAGATATACGAGCAAACAATCCACATGACAAAATAAGCCAAAAATGCATAATGGAAGTTTTCCATTTAAGTCTCCATTTGTAAGAAAGTAGAGTTTTAATATATTTAAATGAAGACTGACCTAATGCATATATGTTAACAAGCAAATAAATTCAAGTTTAGTTTTCTCGGAAACGAAGCATTTTGTGAAAAAATGTCATTCTACATTTTCGACTTATTTTTACACGTACAATCAGCCGCTAATCGGTTGACCACGTTATCTGGGTCATCCTACATATTATTCTACGTGTCTACTATTTCTATCCGTATCTCTATAGTATATTATCAAAAAAATGATTTTACTGAAATTGTTAATAATGGAATTCTCGTCAAGTAATAAGCAAAACTAAATGAAATATTTTACTTCGTTTAAAATTCAAGTGCAAGATCATTAAATATTGTTTGCACAACATATCTGGCGTAAAATTCATTCAGTAATTCGATACAACAACGAAAGAAAGAAACTTGCAGACTAATGATTATCATTCCGCGTGATGTTGTAATGACACCGATAGTAATTTTGTAATACGACCAGCGTCGTTTAGAAACGTTTCAATGACTTTTCTCTTGCGTAAAAGACGTCAGGAACTAGTGATCTTTTCATCCTATTACATGACACGCAGAAATTTACGCAATTACAAATAAAATCAATAATGATAGCAATGCCGATCTTTACGCGAAAAGAAAAGATGATTGGCTTGAAACAATTTATAGTCTTAAGCCGAATTTACACAGTGTCAAACACGGTTGAAACAAGGGTAAAAACAGCGTTCATCCGCTATATACCAACAAAATGAAATAGTGTAAATTCGGCATTAAATTTTGACAGTCGGCGGCAATTTGGCTGATTAGCGGCCGCCGATTATCGATTCTCTGATTGCCGCACAGTTCGCGTTCTGACTCGTCGGCGCGCTTTATTCCCAGGTTTTCGCGGCTGGCAAAATTGCACGGCATACGGCAATCGTGTTAATTAATCACGTTAATCGATGGCCGTGTCTGCGCGGGTTGCGCAGTTAGCGCGTGCATCGACGGTTACCCGTGTTATCCTCGCGCTGACACAGCCACGAAAATCATGATATTCCAATGATCGAACGCGCCATCTATTCGCACAGAAACAGTATTTAGCTTTACGCTGATAATTGATGCGAATCGTATGAAAGATTAATTCTTCGAGAAATTTCATAAGGTTCGCGTAAATATAATAGAAAATCCACTGCGCTCATAAATAAATGAACGTCTTGGTCGATTTCTGTTAACGATATACGAATGTTGCGGTAATACACGAATCAGTGGCAAACTAATGGTCGAAAATGGTAATTATCGTCGTCTCGGGAAATCCACAGCTACCAATTATATGAAATAAAAATTGTGTATTCTGCACATATACTGTTTAACCGGAAACACTCAAGTATTTGGAAAAATATGAATATGAATATGAAATATTCAGGCAAAAGTTGAAGTGTCCTGTTCTGCAAAGGTGTCATTAACATTTTTTACCGAATACCATTATTCTTTGTTCCTTACTTTCTTAGCTGACACTCGGGTGTCTTCAAAACACTAGAAACTTGTGTCTTTCGCGTCACCCGTTGTGCATATGTGCATATATACAGGGTGGTTGGTAACGGGTGGTACAAGCGGAAAGGGGGTGATTCTAGGCGAAAAAAGAAGTCGAAAATATAGAATAAAAACTTTTCATTTGAGGCTTTGTTTTCGAGAAAATCGACTTTGAATTTTCGCTCGGTACGCGTGCGGTACGTTATAACGGATCTCACTGTAGATCGTTGTCTCGATGGAAAAATTAAAAAAAAATTTTTATTATATATTTTCGACTTCTTTTTTCGTGTAGGATCACCCCCTTTCCGCTTGTACCGCCAATTACCAATCACCCTGTATACTTGTTAAATGCTTTTGTCTTTGATGTAGAATCAATATACACGTTTTGAAATTCTACTATTTAGCAAGAAGTTAACATGTTATAAATTGCAAAATATATAATTCTATATTTTAATATTTTTACACATTTAAATATTATTCCTTACTCTGTTAGGAGTTGAAAATTATTTTGATAATCTAACGGAATTTCTACTTTGCCCTGCTATAACAATTTTTTTTACTATCTTGTATAACAAGGGCATTAGTAAATGGATTTACATTTAACGCTGGATAATAGCGTTTAATATCTTCTAAACAGTACAAGTTTAAAGAATTGCATTCATCTGTCACGAAGATAATGTTAAAATGTAACGTTAGCTTTCGTTTGACCTCGAGTAAAGTACGCGTTCGACGCGTCGTGACTTCAAATTTTTATCAAATTGCAGCAATAAATAATTATATTAGGTTATCAAAGAGAGATATTTATAAATCCACAAAATTATAAAAATTATAAAAAGTACAACATTTTCACTTTATTCGTCATCATTGCACAATCAGCCTATCGAATATGTAAAATTAAACAATTGAATAATGTTAGAAACGTATTGCATTTTACAAGTATCTTCTCGAAAAGCGTAATTGAAAGAAAAGAGGACGAAAGGAGAAGTTTTATTAAAGTATTCAAGTCAAAGACGCTTAAAGAAAATATAACGAACTTTTAGATATTGTACGTGTATGCAAACCCGTGCAAAATCTCTTGTTTAATTTTAGAAATTAATTTTTTGTAGCAAACGTGCAACTATGATATGATCGTTCGCGTTCAATTCACCTTGAGAAATGCAGAAAAAGGGTGCTGCTCATGATATAGAATGTAATAGTCAGAGATAAGAAGATAATGTCAGCCCGTATCAAATCAGAAGAGAGTAATTATTAGACGAAGAACACTATTATGATTATTGAAGAGAATTATCAACCTTGCATTCAACAACGAGAATAGGATAAGATGAACGCTTTGCGCCAAGGAAGAGGCATTCGCTTAAGATATAAATAAAGCAGAAATTTTCACATTGATCTTTGATTACGATAAGAGAAGATATAAAAGAAGAAGGAAAGAAAAAATTTGATACGGAGAAAGAAATTTAGAAATTACCAGGAATTGAAGAGTCTCGAAGATAAGCTGATTTCTACATGGTCTGACAAACATTCGAGTAACAATACGTAAATCATATTTACAATATGATTAGATCGTTGCAACGGACAGTCATAGGCGATGTTAATGAAGAAAGTAGGGAGATACCTTGGATGCGCAACGTGAGATTCCAGAGGCACGTAGTTCGTCGACAAGCGTTAATTTTATGTCGAGATCGAAGCATCCTAGAAAGACGGTGCACATTTTCACTGACACGTGTCATTCCACCAAATATTCACCGAGTATAAAACGCTTTCTAACAATACAGAACACCACTATTGCACTCGAGGAATATAAGAGAAACCAGGAAATAACGCGATCGTGCAACTCGAATCACGTTGCTCGAGATGAACTGAAGAAACAATCTGTCAATCCTTCATGAACGGATAATACGATGAATTTAATTTAACGCGTTTTCTAATAAATAAATACATTTAATTCCTCGTTGTTTCGGCTGAATTTCACCAGCGACAATTTCAACGTACAGTCCTTGCGTTTCAAACAAACGGAGCAGAATTTTTCACGAACACTGAGACACTTGTTTACACGTTGCAACCACGTTTCGGCTCTTGATTCTACGTTTTCCTAATATTTTATCGTCGTTTAGAGCTTACCGAGAAGCGCGTACATCCACGTCGTCGCCGACGACGAGGAAGCGGCGTCATCCTCGAGGAGCGCAGAAGGCCTCACGCCTTCCCTCCTCTCAACCGATGCCCTCGTGCTTCGAGGGTGCCTCTTCGACGACGACGAGGTCGTGCCGCTCGCGGACCACTGAGTCGAATATCGCGAGTTCTTCGATGCTACCACGTGCTACCGAAAGAAGAGGCGGCCACCTCGAGAACCATACGATACACGAGGAACGCCACAACCGTTGGCAACCTTCGCGATCGTTTACCGTGCCACTACTGTTCCATTAGAGAGGTGGTGGTTGTAGTGGTGGTAGCAAACGGCTTTACGAACTCACGCGCACTCTTCACCCGAGGCGGCAAACGAATACTGAGCGCGGGTGGTGGTAGTGATGGTGGTGGTGGACTAGCCGGAGGTGGAAGTGGAACAACACCGATGATAGATCCTGACGCAATACGGATTACCGCTGTTCTGGACCACGTGCTCTTCTGGCCCACCGCAGCAGGTGGGAGTGACTAAAACTATTGCTTGCTTCTACGTTTATGCCAACTTTTCTCTCTGTCTATTCCCTTCTCCAAAAGCTCCGACAGTTGGTCGCACAATTAAGTGCTTTATTGTTCTTGTTTAATCGTATGTTACGCTTTGAAATAACGTTCTTTGAAAAATGACCTTTATCGACCTACTTCTGTTGCCACTATAATAGCACGAATGGTACTACTAGTACGTTTAAGTCGATTTTCTTCCAGTCTTTTTGCGCTAAGTAGAGTTGCTTTTTCTTATGTCATCGATTACGGTATTGATATCGCTCAGTATCTTTCGACGAGAGTAGTAGAGTTTTCAGATAACCCAGCTAACTCGCACGATAATTTCCTGTCTTTTGCGGTGAAAATGCTTTATCGATGTGTTTTTTTCTACAGTCACAAGAAGCTTTTAATCTTCGTTACAATGACATCAACAAGTCTTTTGTGTTTCAAGGAGACCTTTACATATCAGGGGGTGCGTATCAATTTGATAGAACTTGACGTTATTGAATACACGAACATTTTACGTTATTATATCTTCTCAAATCTTTACAATTCAGCAAAACAAAATTCACACAATTAAAATTATCACAATCTTCATTTATGCGTTTGCACTTCTATTTTTTAAGCTTCAAAATTTTTATATTTCTAAATCTCTGGAACTAATTTCTGTGTTAAGAACTGCCAAATTCAAGGTTTCAAGGAGACCTTCACATATCAGGGGGTGCGTATCAATTTGATAGAATTTGACGTTATTGAATACACGAACATTTTACGTTATTATATCTTCTCAAATCTTTACAATTCAGCAAAACAAAATTCACACAATTAAAATTATCACAATCTTCATTTATGCGTTTGCACTTCTATTTTTTAAGCTTCAAAATTTTTATATTTCTAAATCTCTGGAACTAATTTCTGTGTTAAGAACTGCCAAATTCAAGGTTTCAAGGAGACCTTCACATATCAGGGGGTGCGTATCAATTTGATAGAATTTGACGTTATTGAATACACGAACATTTTACGTTATTATATCTTCTCAAATCTTTACAATTCAGCAAAACAAAATTCACACAATTAAAATTATCACAATCTTCATTTATGCGTTTGCACTTCTATTTTTTAAGCTTCAAAATTTTTATATTTCTAAATCTCTGGAACTAATTTCTGTGTTAAGAGCTGCCAAATTCAAGGTTTCAAGGAGACCTTCACATATCAGGGGGTGCGTATCAATTTGATAGAATTTGACGTTATTGAATACACGAACATTTTACGTTATTATATCTTTTCAAATCTTTACAATTTCAGCAAAACAAAATTCACATAATTAAAATTATCACAATCTTCATTCATGCGTTTACACTTCCATTTTTCAAGCTTCAAAATTTTTATATTTCTAAATCTCTGGAACTAATTTCTGTGTTAAGAGCTGCCAAATTTTTCAAATTTCCCAAAGAACGAACACTTTGAAAATTCGCGGCAAATCCAGACACGAGGAAATAGACCACGCGGTCGCGTGTTGCCGGCGCAAGTGGGAGTGACTAAAACCGCCCTACACCTCGGCGCTTATACAGCGTCGATGTCGATGGTACCGTGATCATCATACGCAGGTCTAATCCCTCGGGAAGGTTCAACAGGAAACCAATAAGGTTTTCGCGCAACCACTTCATCGGAATCGCTCAAAATTTGTTTCGAAAGCTACGATTTTCGTTTTGGATTGTTTAGAATTAATTAGAAGAAATACAATTAATTAGAAGAATACAAGTAGAAGAAATATCGCCACGTTTTATCCCCAACCTTCTGGCATAAGAGACTCTCAAAGGCTAAACCGATCAATTTCACTTGTTTATTGCTTAATTTCATTGCATAAATACGCGATTAATGTTTAATTCTCAAAAAATGAATAACTTGTGCCCATGAGTTTATTTGTTAGAAGGAAATTATATGACTAATAGCAAAATTGAAAATAAATTAACAAAACAGTATTTATAACATTGTCACTTTTCTCCTATACTTTTCAATTTTTGGAATTGGCCATTGCGATTTTTGAACGGTTAGTAAGGTAGGTAAACAGAATTGGATTTCACTACGTATATGCAAATTACAGGGAGAAGTTACAATGGCTGGCATTTTTCGGGCTTCGCAGAGGGAGAATTTTAAAATTCAAGTATTAATTAGTACTATATTAATTAATGCCATATTTGTATTTGATTTTCGAACTAAATATATATCTTTGTCGTGCCTTTTAAAAATTACAAATGATCGATATGCATAAAGTTAATTGAAAGCTATCTTTTATCAATTTTCATCTGAATACTTTTAAAATTAAAACAATTATTTTGAAAACCTATCTTTTGCACCTATAATAATAGACAATAACTTCGATGCGTAATATATTTTGAATTCACATTCCAAATTAATGATGCACAATTTTTGTCTACGTAAATTATAATCTGTGTGAATTAGTGCCATAAAGTTACAAAAAATAATCGAAGATTAATTCTAATATACATAAAAAATGAGTTTATAGATCTTGACGCATCAAATTAAGCTATAAATTTAATCCTTTTCTCATATTTGTTTTCTATCTGATTTTATCGCTTTATGTTTATCTAAATCTGCGTTTAATATAATATTGCTCACGTATAACTAGTTTCAATGTAGTAATGTAACGAGGAAACTCGATATTCGGAAGAAGGGCGTTCAAAATCATATTCTTCAAGGCTTTATCACTTTTTATTAGAAGTAAAGATTCATTTTTTTTAATTATTTTTGTATATGTTAAAAACGAAGTTTATGTATTATTGAATTTATAAGCGTCTAGTAAATAAAAAAAAGTTTCGACTTCGAATATTTCGAAACAGACAGATTATATATTTTAACAGACACGTCCCTTATTGCAAATAAGTCCTTAATCTTGAATTATGTTGTTGGTTTTGTGTACTTTTAATATTTCGTGAATATAAATATCACCTCTTTTTGTAAAACTTACATCGACTCGCGAAAGTATTTGAGCACTTACTATAGAAAATGTTTAGTTTCGTATTGTACGTGTTATATAAAATATTTAAAAGTATCATTAGCATTGTAATAAGACACAACTGTTACGAATATATTAGTAAAATTTGAAACCTATCTAAAAATGTATATATGTAAAAATTGCAAGATATATGTTGCAAACAAATATACAGGGTGGTTGGTAACTGGTGGTACAAGCGGAAAGGGGATGATTCTATGCGAAAAAAGAAGTCAAAAATATAGAATAAAAATTTTTTTTTAATTTTTTGTGAGATCCGTTATAACGTACCGCGCGCGTACCGAGCGAAAATTCAAAGTCGATTTTCTCGAAAACAAAGCCTCAAACGAAAAATTTTTATTCTATATTTTCGACTTCTTTTTTCGTGTAGAATCACCCCCTTCCGCTTGTACCACCAGTTACCAACCACCCTGTATATTTAGTAAAATATTAGTATACAGCATGAATAGCTATGTTAAGCATATACTGAGTGTTAAATATGCTCCCACTGAATATTGACATTTATTAATATAACGGATAACCAGTCTTCATGAAACATATAGTTGTACTAAGTACCTTGTAATTTCTCTATATCTTTTCAAATTTGTTTTAAACTACCAATATAATATGTTCGTAAAATGTATCTATGAGTATTCGAATAGTTTCGTGGCTTGTGCATATCTTTAAGTCTAACAAATCGTTCCCTTCCCAATGATATTATTTTAAAGTAAGTCTTCTTCAACAAATAGCAGAAAAATTCGAAAATCGATAAAAATGACTTATGGTTTCTTCTATAATTTTAGTACAAATTGTCTGGATTTAAGATGCGTGTCATTAAAAATGTTAATGATGTTTTTGCACACTAAGAGGTATATGTACATTAGAAAACATTTCCGTAATGGAATATTACATTGATTATTTTCATCTGTCTGTTTTTCTATTGGGAAATACTGGTTTCGTTAATTACAGTGCGAAACCGCGATAATAGTTTGCATCTTAACGATACTGTCATTCGAATGGCTTGAGAACTAGTATTCTGCGAAACACTGAGGAATGTTATCGATATCTTGTAATTTCACGTCTTATTGTTGATACGACACTAATTGACTCGAATGGAAGATTAACAGAACATACTTTCTTTCTTGCCTCAAATATACATCGGTAAAATCTTGCCAAAGTCAGTGAACTTACTTGAGCTTAAACTGTTTGAAAAAAAAATTTTAAATTGAACAAAAAAGATAAGAGGAAAGTAGTCATGAAAGTATTTAAATACTTAATTTAAATACTTAAGTATTAAATTGAAGTATTAAATTAAAAGTATTAACGTATTAAAGTATAAAAGTATTAAAGTATTAAGTATATTAAGTATAAAGTATTAAAGTATTTAAATTAAGTATTTAAATACTTAATTTAAATACTTTAATTTAAATACTTAAATAAAATAGAAACTTTTTATGAATCCCATATTATGTACGTTATGTCTACAAACCATATTGAAATTTTATTGGCACTGCAACGAAACACAATTGTCGTGATAGTAGTATTAATCTTTGATATGAATTTAAAAATGTAGACGTGTGCTACAAAATATTTATTGCAAACATATGTACATCACACGGGTCACCGAATTATTCGCACTTGCATTATTATATATTTATTTGTTATATTTAATGGCATTATTGTTAAACTATGTTTGAAATTACTTTTATGTAGATACATCCTTGGAATTGTTTGAAACTTTTCCATTATAATCATGGTAATCGTGTCTCATTACAGTGCTAACGAAAGCTCAAAAATTTCGTATATCACACACAGTATATTTATAAAAATTTTCGTAGAAATTTATTTGAAAAGATTTGTAAAATGTTAGTAGTAATTATAAACAGAGTAAAGATATGATAAAGTTCAATTAATCAATTAATATCGATAAATGCGAAAATAGAAATATTATCATCATCAAATCAAGGAATAGATGAAATGGATCAATATCATTCGAAATTTGTAAGCATATCTCAAGTCACGTAAATTAATAGATTCATAGGAACAAAGTGTTCAAAATGACTAGAAATCCAGTGATTTGACTAATAAAGATAAGTATAGAAATTTGTAAAGATATTGAAACAAGAAAATGACAATTTCCTGTTAGCAACGATGTTTTAACTTATTCAAATTTGAATTGCCCGAATTCCAATAACTTGACTAATTTAAACGAAATTTAATCGATCACTCTGCGAAATTTTTGTGCCTTAAACTCGCTTTCATTTCAATGTAGGTAATTTTTTATATTGTAAGAAAATTTGTGGCACAAAATTGAAGTGAGAAATCATTCACATCAATAATGATTCTTGCATAAATTCCTCAAATTTGAGAAATTTTTTAAGAACAAAAAGGTATGCTTAGGTCGAAAATCTCACCAAGAAGACGAAAAATTAGTATCTCGTTTACTACGTTTATGCAACCACCTACATTTTTATCTATTCGAGAATCTGACGTAAATTAGCAACAATGTGTTTCGATCAATTTTACAGAATATTTTTAGTCAGGATGTAATACGAGTGAAGGAAAAAGAAAGTAGTTAGAGAAAATGATATACCCACGATTCTGTTGTCCCGAAATTCGAATAAAATCGAATGTGAGAAGAATCAGGGTGCCAACCCTGCGAATTTCTTCCCCTTAAAGGTATAAGGGGTCATTGGAAAATTTCCAATAAGGTAACGCGAGGGTTACTTCTATTCGAGAGAAGCGCCGGGTAATCCAGTATTGAAATCAAATGAGTGTAAAAATGCTATAATTAATTGAATCAAAAAGAGGAAATTTACAATAGTTAGAAAATTTTGTAAAATATATTTAATAAGCAAATGAAGAAAATATAAGAAGGAAAAGGATAAATATTACGGCGAATGAAGATTAATTTAAAGAGATATTTAAGAAAATGTTTTGTTGATTTCCTAGTTTCCAAAACTAAATGTTGAGATTACACTTAAAATGAAATATACTTAAAAACGTGTTATGTAAAAATAACAATGTGAGCCTCTATTATATTAAAGAAGAAATTCAAAAACATTGTAATATGGGACACTGAGAAGAATATGGTTGAAGATCATAGTAATCTAAGATTTTGAGAATTTAGTTATATACATCAGTTTTTAAAAGTATCATCCTTTTAGTTTCATGGCTAATCGAGTCATAATTTTACTTCCTACCGACATACATTTTCACGTTTTGAAATAATATATTGCTATATAAAATATAAAATGGTGAAGATACAATATTGTACCTACATTACAGCCAGCTAATTGAAA